AACCTGGCCTGGAACACTCCCAGGGATGGAGCAGCCACAGCTTCTCTGGGCAACCTGTGCCAGTGCCTCAGCACCTCACAGGGGAGAATTTCTAACTAATATCTAATCTAAATCTGCCCTCCTTCAGCTCAAAGCCATTCCCCCTTGTCCTGTCACTCCAGGCCCTTGTTGTACAAAATGTTGTACTGGAATTCAGTTTCACAAGAGCTTGTTGCTTTATTTTAGGCCATCCTTGGTTTATTGTCTTGAAAATCCAGAAACTTTGGTCTGTCTTTTTAGCCTTAATACACCTGTTGTGTCTGGTCTGTTGCAAGAATAATGGGAACTGGGGTAGCTACAACTCCCAGAAAAGCTGCAACTAGGTCAGTCTCTTTTCCCAGGTAACAAGTGACAAGAGGAGAGGAAATGGCCTCAGGTTGTGCCAGAGGAGGTTTAGATTGGGTATTAGGGAAAATTCCTTCCTGGAAAGAGGGGTCAAGCAAGCCCTGGCACAGCTGCCCAGAGCAGTGGTGGTGTCACTATCCCTGCAGGCATTTAAAAGCCATGTGGATGTGGTCAGTGGTGGCCTTGGCAGTGCTGAGGAATGGTTGGACTCGATGATCTTGAAGACCTTTTCCAACCTAAACAATGTTGTGTTTGGAGAACTTAACTGCCTGGTTCAAGCCTCTCTGCAGTAAGAGTCTGCGTGGCTACAGTAAGCAGAACTGCGTGAACCAGAATGCAGGAGCAAAGCATTAGAGGTTTGTTCACAGCACAATTTGCAAGTTAGTTCAAAAAAGTGACTTTCACAGATGCTCTTTAAAGATGACAGAAGAAATGATAACTGTAGCCATTGCTGAAATTACTGAAATAAATCAGTTCAGTTTCTGGTGTTGATTATTACTGTGTTCAAGCTTCTTACAGTTTAACTTTGTTATGGTACAGCTTCTTGCCAAGTGTGTTTGATATTCTTTTTTACTGCTTCCTAGGAAGTGAATATTGAATTTGAAGCACATTCCATATCAGACAATGATTATAATGGGATAAAGAAGTTACTGCAACAGGTAATTTAACTGTTTGTTAGCTTAGCTGATATAGCTATAGATAAATAGTATCTAAAGACATCAGTTCACCTTCTTTGTATTAATTCATAGTTTTACTTTGGTTCAGCTCATAGAGATTAGTTACAGCCACAGTGAATGTGTCTCCTAAACCACAGTTTGAAGAACTTCATCCACTTCTTCTACAGTTTATGTAATCTTTCTGTTGTAGCATTAATTGTCAGAAAACCTCATTCCCTCTGAATCAGCTTCCTGGAGCCTTTTTTTTTTAAATTATCTGACAAAACAGACAGACAAGTGCTTTGTCTGTTCAAGGTGGCAGCTCCCCATCTTTTTTTGGCTGTTCCTGTTGTAAGCCTGTGCTCAGCAAACACTCAGGTCATACTGAGCTCCAGAGGATACCAGAGATGCAAAATCTCAATCTGCAGTATGTCCAGGAGCTGATTTTTAGTCTTTACAGTACTATATTGAAGGAAGTTAAATAAAAAAACTCAATAAATGGAAATTTAAAATGGAACAGAGTATTGCATAACAACTTAGAGGCTTTTCTGACTTGATTTTCTACTAAGTGGCCCATGAGGGATCAGGGCCTAAAACTTACTACTTGTTTCCTGTTTTCCAGTTGTTTCTAAAAGCTCCTGTTAACACTGCTGAGTTAACTGATATCTTGATACAACAGAACCATATTGGAAGTATTGTCAAGGTAAGACAGAATTTACATTTGTGAAGGAAGTTGAAATGACATAGTTTCTGTATTTCAGAAAGGAATACTGTCTAAATTATTTGCTTTCTTGCTTTGAGAATAACTCCTCCAAGGAAGCTGAAATTTTCCATGCCTACTTCCAACCAAAGTAGGAATTGGATTTGGTGGTGGTGGTGGTTTCTTTTTACATGTAGAAGGCTTTTCAGTCTCTGAATTTTGGGGTAGTAGAGTAGTAATACTGCTGAAAGTGCTGTGGAGAAGTTTGTTACCACCTCCATAAGAGACAGGACCTTGTGATGTCCCTGCATTCTCAGAAGGTGCAGAGATACTGACAAAACCACCCTGTGTGCAGCTTCTTTTCATGCAGAATTCTTTGGGCAGAGGAAGGTGTCCTGAAATGGGTCCTGAACAAGCCGTGCTGTGGTAGTGGAGCACTCTGCAGAGGCTCCTGAGATGCTCCTGGCTGAGGAAGCTGCTCAGTGCTGTACAGTGCTCCAGGTGTCATGGCCACATTGCTTTCAAACCCCAACATCTGCCCCCACTGTGCTGTTGTACCATGGGATCATTGCTGTGCATTCCTTTTTTGCCCTGTGCCAACAGTTTTTCTGCCCAAATTTACTCCAGTCCTTCCATTCCCAATATATTCCCAAACTTTTTCATGATGGGGTTTTGTTGAGCTTTTTGTTTCACTCTCCAGCAAAGCTTTGTTGCTCTGTGGTTCTCAAGACGTTGCAGGTTTTTGTTAGAAACTGAACAAAATTGGTTTTACTTAAGATATTGCCATCCCTTGTAGTGAGATGCTGCTTACTAAATGTGAGCTATCAAACTTTAGTGCCTTTCAAGAGCCCCTGCTGTAGAAGATGCATGACCTGGATCTGTATCTGGCTGGCTCTGAGCACACCAAGACGTTCAGTGATGCAGCACTGGATTTCTGGTTGTGTTTGTCCACATTGCCTCCATGGTTGTCATCTGCTCAGCATCTCCTGCAAAGAAAAACACCTTTGGCTGCAGAGTGCAAATAGAATGTCAAGATGAGTTGTTGCTTTTCTCTTTTGTTAAACAGCAAGCAGAAGTCCAGGAAGACAACAGTGATGATGACGAAGACGATGATGAAGTGTTTGGTTTTATAAGCTGCTTGAACTTAACAGAAAGGAAGGTCGGTATTGCTTGGTAACATCTAGTCAGTAATAAATGAGACTGCATCCTGCTTGCTTCACTGTTTAACAAGCCTGGACAGCTGGGTCAGGATTTGAATTCCACTGTGGAGGATTAGGGTTGTAAAATTGCACATCGCTTAACTTTCTGTTGGATCTAGTAACTCGCTGAAGGTCAAACACATAACAAAGAATGGAATAGAGAGTTAAAACTAGTCTAATAATTCCAGGGTATCTGTGCTGTCAGTCTCTGGTATTGCTTTACTTTCATCTCCCTCAGCTTTGGAGTTTTGCTGTGGAATGCACTGGTGTTGCAGCTCCTCTCTGTTTCTAACAGTTAACAACCTCTGTTTGCCCTCAGTTCAGGGTTGGTAAGGGATTCCAGAGAAACTGTGCAGTGCTGCGGAGGCTGCTTAAGGAAATTGCCACTAGGCCTGTAGGAAATCCCCTTGAAGTTGATATCCATGATTTTCTTGTGCAAACAGTTGTTCTATGAGGTAAAGAAAACATCCCATTTGATTGTAGGGTACCCAGTGTGCTGAGCAGATCAAAGAGCTGGTTCTGAGCCGCTGTGAGAAGAGCTGTGAGCAGCACATGGTTGAACAACTGAGCAAACTCCTGAACGACAGCACAAAGCCTGTGGGACTGATACTGAGTGAGAGGTTCATCAATGTTCCACCACAGATTGCTCTGCCCATGCACCAGCAGCTTCAGTAAGTTTGGCTGGGGTTTTTGCCATGATGGTGAATAGTGCTTTTTCTTCATATTTTCTCAGAAATCTTACATATATAGAACTATGTTAAGGCAGGTGATACTATAGATACAAGTAAGATATGAGCAGAAAACGTTATTTTTGTCGGTGCTTTTCTAGTACAGAAGTAGCTGGGTGTGTGCTGTAGTTTATCTTTGTATGGTAGATTATTTTCATATTGATCTAGGAAAATTTAAAAGTGTGAACTTTTATAGCATGCTGCTAATACGCAGCTTGGATGTTTCTGTTTGTGCCTGACTCTGGAATGGAGGATTTGGATTGAGGCTTATAAGGTGGATGAGTTCTGGCCTATTAAAAACATACTCAGTGTTTTGATTAGTTTGAAGTGAATGAGTAAAGCAGGTTAGGTGCTGGTTAATCTCTACCAGTTCTTGGATTGATCATAGAATCATAGAATTTTAGGGGTTGGAATGGACCTTACAGATGATAAAATGGGTGACAGTAAATAAATGAATCCAGGGACACCTCCCACCAGAGCAGGTTGCTCAAGGCTCATCCAACCTGGCTGTGAACACTGCCAGGGTTGGGGCAGCCACAGCCTCCCTGGGCAACCTGGGACAGTGTCTCACCACTCTCACAGGGAAAACCTCTGCCTAAGATCTAATCTAAAGTTCCCTCTTTCAATTTCTCCCCATTCCTCCTTGTCCTGTCCCTGCAGTTCCTAACACAGATCCCTCTGCAGCTTCCCTGGAGCCCCTTCAGCTCCTGGAGGTTGCTCTGAGGTCTCCACACAACCTTCTCTTCTCTCATGTGCAATGACATTAGAAGTCAGATGAAGTTGACTCCTGGCTCATTTAAACAGACCTTTGAGGAATTGCTAACATGTCTGTAGGGTTGATCAGGAAGGTTTTTAGAGGAGGAAATGAGGTGCCTGAAGGCTCAGCTGTGAGGTTTACCACTAGCACAGCACTTGCTACAGGTCAAATTCAGATCTCAGCCTCTTTGTCTGGAAGGTTTTGGAGTATTGCAGTGACAACATATGTGACACAAGGGTGGGCAAGAGTCTTTCTGGCTCTTCAGTTGTAATTCCTCATGGAAGTGATAGTGTGATGTCTCTTCAGGACAGTTGCACTGAGAATCATTTCAGACTCTACCAGGGACAAGATTCTGGGAAAAAGGCTTATCCTGTGAGGTGTGGAAAAAGATCCATACTTTTATTATTTTAAAGTACAAATAGTGCATTTATGTCCTAGGAATGCACATGCAAAGGTTGTTTTCTGAATCACCTGTGAAAGAATAAGCTGCAATATATATATCCTTCCTATACTAATAGATTGCAAGGTTTACTTGGACACTTGTTCAGGATTAAAGTTGTGCTTGTAAACATAGTTTTAAATTGTGCAAATGTGTAAACATTTATTTTCCTTTAGGAAAGAACTGACTGAGGCACAGAGAACAAACAAACCTTGTGGAAAGTGCCACTATTACCTTCTTATCAGCAAGACCTTTACAGAAGCCACAAAGAGCAAATCAAAGAAGAGGGAAGGGAGAAACCAGCCAAAGGAGGAATTAATGTTTGCAAATGCAGAGGAAGAATTCTTCTATGAGGTAACATATGGGATTCTTTTCACTTAAAAGGTGTATTTTTCTTTACATATCAGCAAAAAAATAAAAGGTGTTTAACCTTAAATTCAAGGGGAGCTTTTAACAAGGGGTGATCACAAATCTTTTAAAGTTAAATCCAGGGGGTTTTGGTATTGAGAGAAGAGCAAGCAAGCTATTTTTGTATTGTTTTATCTGTTTCCTTCTGGATACCTGTTAGTTTCAAAAAATGCTCAGGATAAAAAACTTCAGAAGACCCAAACAAGTAGCTATCACTTCCTTTTTCTGTGTCTATTCTACTCAGGACAAGTATATTAATAAAAAGTGCTAAAATACTGAGCTAAAAACACTGCTTCCTATTTCCTAAGGCAACCTATACAATTCTGCTGATTCCAAGCCAAATCAGGTGAGGGGAAGTTGCAGGGAATTAAATTAAAAATGTGCTTTGAGATGCAAAGAATTTTTCATTGTTCTTCTTTTTTTCCCCCAAAGCTTTAAAAATACCATTCAACAACATTATTGCTTTGTCAAGAGACCATTATTTTTCATCTCTGGCAGTGCCTACAGGAGAAAGCACTTGCACATGCATCGTGTGCTTAATGGCAAAGGTTTCTGTGTGTAATCATTCTTGGCTCTGTGTTGGAGGCTGTGATAGGGCTGTAATTTTATTTCTTGGGGAGGAGAATAATGTGAGTGGATGAATTCATGGTGGAAGTGTTGTAGCCTCTATGCACTGACAAGTTTGGGATTTTCCCTTTGTGTTCCTGCCCCAGCAGCTGAACCAACTGAATATGGACATGTGATTGAAGAGCTGACAGGGAAAACCTGTGATGTCCATAGGTGTCACATTCCACAAGGCCCATTTTGTGTTTACCTCTGCTTTGGTACTTCAAGTGGCACTTTAAAGGCTATTCCTGTGCTTTCAGCTCAATTGCAATAACTTTCAGCTCAAGTGGGTAGGCCCAAACTGAACATGCTTCTCTTTTTAACAGGTTTTGTTGTGTTTTGGTTTTTTTAAATTACTTTTAAATATTATGGGGGTTTATTAGATTAAGTGGATCTCTGTAATTAATGTGTGTGTGGTAAATCAGTGCTGGAGTGAATATACTCCCTCATCACACATAATGGCAATTAGATTGCCATAAAATGGTATTAAACATGGTGAGGAAGGCACTTGGAGCCATATAAACCAGACAGAAGCCTTTCTGCACTTGGCAGTTCCTGGTGCTTTATTCTGTTCCTGATAGTGGTATTGAGGGAGCAGATAAAAAATCTGTTACACCCAAACTTGGAGTTGATTAAAGGTTTTGGGCCTGCGTTGCTCAAACTGTTTGTTCTTGGGCAAAGCCACTCCACTCAATTAATCTGGTGGTTCTTCCAAAATCATATTTACAGCCTTGGGATACTGTTGTAAATAGCAAACCTAAAAAGAGAATGGATCTTAACTTTCTCAACAAAGGGAAGTGATTAGCCAAGTTTTTCTACTTGATGGTTCAGCTCCTACTTCTTCATCTGACATGTGTGAGAACTAGAAACATTTGTTAGGTGAGTTTTTCCAATCCATCAGGCATTCTGTCTAGAAAAGCTAATAAAAAGGGACTTTGTATGCAGTATATAGCCTTGAAAAGAAATAATACACAGTACAGACACCTGCCTGTTTGAAAGAGCATGAATGTCTTTCAGTGGTTCTGACCATCTAGAGCCTTCCCAAGAGATTGGTGCCCATCCCCTTCATGTTTGATTTCTCCTGGCAGTGTGAGAGGATTACTCTGCCTCATATTCTTACAGATGTGGTGATTTGTAGGACTCTGAGCAGTTTTCGGTGTAAGCCATGGAAGCAGCAGAGCCTGTTCACTGCCTCAGGCTTCCCACACATTGCCCACACCAAGCTTTCGTCTTCCATGCAGACTCTGTTCTACCTCTACTCTCTTGCTGTTCCTTTTGTCTGGGTTTTGGCTGATCTGCTCGTTCTCAGCATTATGCAGTGGTTTGCTCTTGTTCCAGGGCTGAAGGTCTGTTAAGAGCCTGATGTTGCTGTTACTGGTCAAAGATCCCTGCTAGTTGCACAGTGGATCCTAAGGTTTGGCCTTTCTTACTGTGATCTTATGGAATGAGATGCTGCCTTAAACCCATCTGGAATGAGGCATAGACTATAATTCATGTTAGAATTTAAGAGGAATTACATAAATTCTGTGAAAAACAGTTTAAAACACTTAATAGTGGATTCTTTTCTAGGTCTTTTTGGTTTACCTTTCGAGAGGGCAGAAAACTTCTTAATAAGCCTTGGGCAGAATAAGTTCATTATTTTTGCTTTGTTTAGCTGGTATATTGTCGTGATGCTGATTACAAATTGTGATCTGAGTGCATTCATTCCTGTTGTTTAGAAAGCCCTTCTGAAGTTCAGCTACTCCGTGCAAGAGGAAAGCGACACCTGCTTGGGTGGCAGATGGTCCTTTGATGATGTACCAATGAAGCCTTTGAGGACTGTTATGATAGTTCCAGCTGATGGAATGAACGTGATTATGGATAAACTCAAAGACTATCTCTCAGTCTGAACTTTACCTGCAGACACCAGGTTTTCACAAAGAATTCTGGCTTCACATTGTTTCCAGGAGGCTGATGTTGGGTTAGTGCATTTGTGCTGTTCAGATACTTCTTCTGGACAGCTGAAAATGTCCATCAAACTGGTATTTTTTAATACTGCTTGTTATTTGACTTTGGCATCATAATTAATCAGTCAATAAAAACCCAATGTCGAAAGGAAACTTGGAAGTTCTGCTCAGTATATTGAAATATATATATTTAATATAGATAATGCATAATATAAGTATATATGTGTATATATAATATATAAAGATAGAATCTGAAATATGTAAGTATATATAATATATAAATGTACTTATTTATTTCAGATTATATATAATATATAAGTTTATCTTTTTAGTCATGTATTTTTGTATGTGAATAATGTACACAACTCCTTTGGCTGAGAAAAGTGCTTTTTCTTTGTTTCTTCTGTTAAACACATTTATGCCCTAGGTTTGACACAATTACATGGGCTAGGATGTGTTGCATATGTTGTTTTTATTTGTGCTTGTCCAATATGTGATGGTTCAGCCTAAAATCACTGGATAACACATCTCTGTTCAGAGGGAGTTTGGGGAAATTCTTCATTTTCTTTGTTGTCATTGGTGGTTTTCTGTTTCTCCTTCATGGCTGAAACAGGTGACAAGTGGTTGATCACTTCCTGCAGAATATCCTTACTTTCACTAGGAGGAAGGTTGCTGAAATAATACTGAGGCACCAGCTCCACAAATCTGGGGAGGAAATGAAAGAAAAGATTATTATTATTACTGTTATTTTTAATTGAATTTTTGAAGTGTTTTGAATTGGATTTGAATGTTTGAACAACTCATTCAAGCCTTGTACAACATACAGCCACAAAGTTGGTATTTCAACCCAAACCTTGCTGCAAATAACCCAAATTCTCTGCAAGGTGAGCAGCAGTTTGTGCTTGCAGTGGACTTGCATTTCATACACAGTCTGCTCTCGAGGTGCTTGTTCAGTTCTCAGTGCTGCTGATTGCATGAAAGAGTCATTTTCCTGAGTTTGAACAGATTGGTTCAATGACATCATGGAAAAGGCTCTCCCATAAACATGGAGAATAGAAAAGATAGAGCTGTGAAATGTATATTCTCTGTGTAAAGTGATTTTTGCAGGAGGGAAACTGTATTCTCTTCTTGAATCCATAAACAGTTGAGAGGGGATGATTTAGCTGGCTGGGTACAGAAAACATGTTGAGAAAGAGAGATTTGCCGGAAAATAGGTTTTTCAGGCAACAAAGATATTTCCAGCTAGATTAATGTATGAGAACACTGCTCTGTTAACTCTTCCTGAATTGTTTTCTCTTTGAAACTTTTGCGGTTTATAAGGTGTTTTTTCCTTCAATTGATTACAGTTCCAGTGGCAGATAGTGAGACTTGCTGCAGTACTTGAACAACAACACGTCAGGAAATAGAGAAAACTGACTGAAATCATGTTTTGTTTTGCAGAAAAAGAGGAATAAGGGTCTGAGATCACAACTCTTCCCTTTTTTTAAGAGTTCTGAGCTTTAATTCAGTGAGTGTTTTGGAGGAAAATGAAGGTATCAAGCAAAGCCACCCACAGTGACAGAACAATAGTGGCATAACATTTATCCCACATATATTCACTAGTGAATATTAAAAGTCTGAAAAGCAACAATTTCTTTGCCCTTCCAGTGATGCCAGCTCCTCTTGCTTCGCTAGGTATGAAGGTTGTGCTTTCCTCTTACGCCTATTTTACTGATTTATTCATTTTTAACCCCCCAAAGTGATGGTTTTGTGGTCGAGGTAGGAGTGGAGAAACAGTTTGAGCATTGTTAACTCACAGGTCAGGTGAGATCTCGGAGACGACTCTGATGGAATTGCCTTCTGAGATACTAAACTCATGGAACAAAACCCACTCAGGAATCCTTCTGGTGTTGTAATAGGATGAGAAGGGATGGAGCTGGGCCACTTGTCTGTGTGCTAGCATTAAGTAGTTACCTGAGCCATCTACATCACGAGCAATCTAAACAGAAAAATGCAGAGAGTTATCCATGCTGAACTGAACAGTGTTTGACTTTATATTAAAACCAGAAATTAAAATTGCCCTCAGATACTTTCGACTCGAGAGGCTAAACCTCTTCCCAAATTTCTGTGGGAAAGGTAGGGGTTGGATAGTGTGAAATGAGGCTTAAAGTAAATGTTGATATGTGTATTTGAAAGGAAACCTCAACAAATGAGGTCAAGCCTGTACACTGAGTATCTGAACTTGTCTTTGAAAGTGAAAATATATATATTCTTAAAGAATTATAAGGGTTTAAAATACAGTGTGTAGCAGAGCCCTTGAAATGTGTGGCAGTTTGGAGAGGTCATTCTTGTGTTGAGATGGAGCAGAGAGATGTGAATGAAAATGTGTTCAAGTGGAAGTAAATTGATCTCTCTTGTTTGTCTTTACAGTTACACTTAGAGTGCTTGGTTGAGATCAAGCTGTGTATTATGTACACCTAAATATATTCAGGTCATTTCTCTCTTTCCAGAGTGGTTCCACAAAAACATCTTCAAGAAGGAGATAATGTCTGAGAGAATATTAGGAGTTAAGAAGTATTTTGAGGTAAAAGAGTTCTCTGAGTGAGAGGCATATTGACAGTTCTCTTACTGTGTGAAGTGTGTGGGCTCCATGCTGTGAGAGCTAACCCCAGGGAAAAGATGGGAGTGGGCACAAATGTTTGATACACTGGGGAAAAAAATGGTTTTTATCCTTCCTGGTGATCAGGAGGTTTCACTACCAAACTTAAGATCTCTGAAATCATTCTATCTACTTTAACAATGCAGTAAGATGAAACCACGGTGTTTTTCCTTACGTGCATGAAGTAACCAGATAAGAGAGCTTTCTTTATGCCCAGCACATTGGCTTTGGATCCAAAGTCTGGCTCTGAAATGGGCAGTTCAATGCGCCTCATAATCTCCACTAGTTCAGCTCTGATAACTTCTGCCATCCTCAGTGCAGAGCAGCTTAGGAAGTAATCACGACACCATTTCTCATTACTGAGCTCTGTGGAGGAAGAAACAGCATTTTGGCTTAAAGCAGAGCCTTGTTGATAGGTGCTGTCCCCAGAGATACTGCTCTGGGAAATGCTTTTTGGTGCAATAGACTAAAGAACATTTTGGAGCAAGTAGCTGTGTCAGAACTGCCTGAAATTCTGGTAATGAGCCATACAGGCAGCTTAGGCTCATTGATGCTGCTTGTAAAGTAAGTGGGCAATACTTGGTATCCTTACTTAGTTTTATAGAACTTTAGCTATTTCTGTCTGAATAAAATCCCTTATTTGGGCTGTTAAAAGTAATAACTTCCAAGAGAATAAGTAGCAACACTATTTTTTCAGGCCTTCTGGATTCAGGGCTGGATGTGGAGCTGAAGTCAGATCTGTAGTGCTGGTAAAGGACAGGTTCTCTTGGACCTCCCTTCAGCATTCAGCATGACTGAATGGGAAACATTCCTACTTTTCCTGTCCAAAGGTTTTACCTAGTGTGTGCAGATTTATCACTGCAGTCTCTAAGCACTGGAATTGGGCGAAATGAACCAGACCAAGATGTTTGAGCACAGAAAATGCTGTGCAGAGCTTCTCTGCTGTACAGTCCAGTGGTTTTTATTTGGTTTCCTGTAAATCTGAACTGTACTCCTTTTGATTTTTCCCTTAAACATTCCTTTCAGTTGACAGCTCCCAAACCCACCAGAATTGTTGGGCTGCTGGGGGAATCAAGGCCCTTCTGATCTGTGTTTATGTCCTTTCACATCTTAAGTACACAGTGTCACATCAAATGACAACTGGAATGGTGCTTATGTGTCCCTGTTGGATGAGGTACACTGTCCTAGGTCATTTTCAGTGAGTTAATTAACTAAAACTAATGATCATTAGCAGTAGCTACTCAGAGGTTTCTCCCTGTGTTCAGCAGTTCTAGAAGGAATCATTCAAAAAGGGTTTGTGAGCTAGATGCTAACAAAAACCAATCAGATCTTTATTTTATTTTGGTTTGTTTTCCAAATTAGTTCCAATGTGCTTTGTTTCACTCTGGGCACATTTACCTTGGTTTGTGGGGTTTGCTGCAGCTTCCTTGAAGGCGTTGAAGACATTGATGAGAGTAAAGTGATCTCCTGCAGGGTGTGAGAACCTTCTCCAGCAAGTCACAGCAATCTCCTCTGTCCCAGGAGGTCCATGTAAGAAGCAATTAGGAGCTTAGAAAGAAATCAAGCCACTGGTTATTAAGACACACAGAGTTAACTCCACCAGTATTTTTGGGTTTTTCTTTCCTCAGTTTCCTTTAGTCTCCACAGTTGGATTGCTGCTGAGGAACTGAACCTACTGCATTCACTAAGGCTTAATTTTTGTGGATGTCCTTTCAGGCTCTTGTTTAGTTAATCTGTGCTGCAAACACAAAGGGAGGTGAGCACCTTTCTCCTAGACTGATGCCAAAAAGGCTTCATAATGGCACAGTCCAATTTAGCCAGAATCCAAGCATATGGGTATTTAATATAGAAAGAAACTAAATCTATGGATGTAATGCCTTAATTTGCCCCTGTATGTTGAAGTTTGTGCCTTCCAGTTACTGAAAATCAGCCCAGCTTGAGCATAAAAAGTTGTGCTATAAGGAGAACAACTAATGCAGCTTGGTGTCCTGTGGAGTCATGTCCTTGTTACCTCAGACTCCAAGGTTATGTTAGTTTTATAACATACTCGAAGTAGAGAGACAAGATCACAAAGTAATTATTTGTAGATGTACAGTTCAATGTTGTTTTTAGTTAGAACTTCCCCCCAGGAGAGGTTTAGGTTGAACATTAGGAGGAATTTCTTCCCAGAAAGGGTGATTAGACAATGGATTGTGCTATCCAGGGAGGAGGTGGAGTCACCATCCCTGGAGGGGTTTAAGGACAGACTGGACATGGCACTTAGTGCCATCGTGTTAGGTCACAGGTTGGACTCAGTGATTTCAGAGGTATTTTCCAACCTTAATGTTTCTGTGATTCTGTAATTTGCTGCTCCAGTCTGTATCAAATGTAGATTAATATGGCATAAAAGGTTCATTTTGAAGGGCTGTTCCTGACAAAAGGCTGGAAGCTAATGGGCAGCTGAAGCATGGAAATGAAGTGCTGCTTAGGAATTCATCACTCGTGTTTCATTGCATACCAAGTCAAGGTTTAAACAGCCAAAGATATTAATATACTTGAAATAAGCAGGATGAGAATAACAAAAGTTTGGGTTTGGGTTGCCTGTGTGGATAGAATTGGAAAGAGTCTGCCTGGATTTGGCAGGTGGCACAAGCCATGCAGTAGGAGGTGATTTATGAGTACCTGTTACCATGGCTGCAATGGTGAGCATTTCATCCACACACTCAAATTCACAGGAAGCCAGAATGGACTTGGACAGCTGTGGGTCCAGGGGAAATTCTGACATAATAATTCCAAATTCAGAAAGGTTTCCATCGTTATCCAGGGCTGCTAGATAATCAAGGTCTTCTAGAGCCTGCATCAGGCTTTCAGGAGCTGAGGAAAGAAGAAAGAGAATTCAAACTGACTACATAGAAATGAATGTCTGAATTCTCATGATAATATTTCAGTTGTGTATTTCCTGTGTGAAAGTGATAGAATTCAACTTCTTCTATTTGAAGTAAAAGTAATAGATGAATGGAAGGCTGAGAACATTCTGGAGGAAGAAATAAGAGATAACGATCACAGAATCATCTAGGTTGGAGGAGACCTCTAAGATCATCAAGTCCAACCATTAACCTGTCACTGCTGGAGCCCCTAAACCCTAAACCAGATCCTCCAGTGGCAGGTCCAGATGCCTCTTAAACACCTCCAGGGGTGGTGACTCCACCACCTCCCTGGGCAATATCCCAGTGCCTGAACACCCTCACAGGGAAAACATTTCTCTTAACATCCAATCTGACTCTGCCTGGCTCAGCTCAAGGCCATTCCCTCTAGTCCTCTCCCTGCAGCCCTGGCAGGACACACATCTCCCAACTCTCTCCAGCCCTGGCAGGAGTTGCAGAGAGCCAGGAGGTCACCCCTGAGCCTCTTCTCCAGGCTGACCAAGCCCAACTCCCTCAGCCCTTGCCCATGTGCTCTGCTCTTTGCTGCCCTCGTTGCCCTTGGCTGGACTCGCTCAGTGCCTCTATGTCCTTTGGGCAGTGAGTGCCCAAAGCTGAGCACAGCACTGAGCCTCCAAACTGTGTCAAAACTCCTTCCACTATTGGCAGCCTTCTGGTATTCTTCTGTGTGCGTTTTGCTCCTTTTAAAGAGTAATGGTCATGTTTGAGAGGTGCTGAGAGATAAGAGAACAGCTCTAGGAAAGAGCTTTTTAACCAAAAAGCAAGCAATTACAGATGTTTTAACTGCCTTATTTCTGCAGGTATTTGGCATTTTATTTTAATTATTTTTTTAAAACATAGTTTCTGATGATGCCAGAAGAAAAATGGGAATGTAGTAAAAGAAAATGTCTCCCTAGAAATTGGCTGTGCTTTCTCACTCCACAAAATTAAATGTTCAATTTTCTCTTATTGTAGGTCATAACTTCCTTACAACCTCCACTGGCAGAAGTGAGAACAGTGAGGCAGAAAAAATAATTTAATGAGTGAATATAGGAGAATAATTAAGTAGACTAAGAGACTAATTTGGGGGGGGGAAAGGAGGAAATAAGTGAATTTGAGCAGCACAGGGAGAAGGGAGCATGAGTATGAGATGGATTGAATGGAGGCAAACACTGAGGGATAGCATGGGTTAAAGTTGAGTGTTTAATGGGGTCTGAGAGGTGAAAGCAGAGGAGAATCTGAAGTGAAGTGATACGGTTTATATTTCCGATGCTAAAGAGTGAAGTCCTGCCAGGAGTGTTTGGGAGGAAGGTTTGCTTCTGCTTTTTGAGCACTGTATCTAGTTCTGGGCCGGTCACTGCAAGAAGGACATTGAGGGGCTGAGTGTGTCCAGAGAAGAGCAACAAGGCTGGTGGAGGGTCTGGAACACAAGTGCTATGAGGAGAGGCTGAGGGAGATGATGGTGTTTAGCCTGGTGTTAATTGTTCAATTAAGTCACTTTCAACCAATGGCATATTAAGCTTATTGTCTGGGGAGAACCTCCTCAAGTTATATGTGTTTCTTCCTCTTTCAGGGGTGAGGGTGAATGAAAACAACCCTCAGGATCAGAAGGTACAGAAAATGGGTTATACACACAGACACAAAAGCACCTTTTTCATCACTGATTGTTGCACCTCATCAGTCATTTCTCATTAGACCCCAGAAGGGCTTTTGCAGTAGCTCTTGTGAAGCTGGATGGGAGTAAATAGCAAAGGAGTGTGACCAAGTATCTTGCTGAATTTCTCCATTGCCATTGTTTTTTCCCTATTTTTCTCTTGGATTTCTGCATCTGAGGCAGTGGAGACAGAACCACCTTATGAACCCCTTAACCATTTACTATTATTCACTGCTTTCAGCACTCATAGGTGAAAGTGAAGCTTTTCAGTGACTTTTTTCCAGGTTTTGAAAAAATTAATCTGAAGTGTTATCTCAGTGTTTGTCCT